TGAATCAACGCATTTATTGTCTTTCGTTATCTTACGGGCGACCTCAATTTAATCGCCTAACAGGCGTGTTTTCGAGAAACAAATATAAATGGTAACGGTCCATTGGCGTGCGTTCCGTAAATTCAATAACGACGGCTTATGGGGTCATCAGGTGGAATCGTAATGGAGGATTTCGTGACTCGCCCGTCGCCACGATGGGAAACGATAGTGGGGGCCATTGTGATCGGGCAGGACCTCCCTGTGAACTTCTAAATTATTACACGGTTCCGGATTTAACGGAGCCAATGGCAAAAGGACGTCCACGCGAGGTCGTAAAGCTTAATCTCAGACCGCTCGGTTATATTTCCTCGGCGTATGTTCTTCTTGCCCCTAGCGGGGCTATTTCGTAGTAAAAAAAAAAAGAAAGTAGTTCGTTACACACGGAAAACAAAGGAAATCGAAATACCTTCCGGGAAGGTGAATCGTTTCGTGGAACAATCCTGGAAGCGCTGGGAGGTTGAGCTTGTTCTCCACAGCAATGCGGATTCTTTCGTAAGTGCGCTGCTATATCTATGACTATTGTTACTGCTGAAAGAAACGCTGTTCTTCTGATTACATTTCGCATTACCTTCGAAACGGTGTTTTCAAACAGATATTTCTAACAGGATTTTCTGCTGTAATTTGTAGATTCGAATTTACAAAATAATTCGATAATTCGAATCATCTGGTCCTTTAAATGTTAGAGTAGAACTTTAGTATCAGAATGATTTTTCTCACCAGTCGTGAGGTAACTTGCTGAACTTAGCATGCGGTCCTTGTGTTTCGTGGACAGATATAGTATCAACTATTGTTTGGTTGCAAACCTCAAAGACACCTGCAAATATTTTGCTATTGATCAGCTCGAACGGACATTTCTGCATAACATTATTCTTGTTCCCTTGAAAAAACACTAAAGTGTGCGATAAAGTAAACGTAATGTTAAAAAGTGGTAACGAGCTGTATCCTTTCCATGGTACAGTTTAAATTCTTGTTATAATGAATCTTTCAGTGATAGGTTTCTTCGTAACCGAAATCACGTGAAACTAGTTAAATCGGTCCACTGATTTTTCATCGCCGCCTTTGATCAAAGTCGATGACGATTAGCAAAAGTAAAAAAGTCAACGCAAGGATGGGATTTCAGAGCGGACGATAAAATTCCTTTCCAAGTTATATTAACGCCGTCACTCGTTCTCGTTCGCTTCCTGGATGAACTTTAATCGTGAATAATGAAGGAATCCGAGGACGATTATTTTTCTTAGCGAAGGGACGTTATTGGATAGAGCCCTGTAATTTTGTGCAGATGCGATTTTTCGTGTCATCCCAAAATCCCTGCGCGTTAAAGCGACTTTCTTCAGACTAATGTGGTAAAAATTGCACGTGGAAACTCAACACCTCTCATACATAAACAAAAATGTAACACGGTATAAAAATTTCAAATAGATTAAAAATACAAATTAGATATATCGTACGATGCATTTAGCTATGAAACAATTAACTGCTAGATATATGCACACTGACATAAATATTTTTAAATTTCCGATGCAATCGATATCTTTATTGTTCCGAATTGTATCCAATTTTTAATCCGTACAGCGGTGAACGAATAATCCGAAACGCGCTATAAATATTTAAATCAAACATTTTAATATTCGAGTTACATCCTCGCTTAATTAATATTACAGGACGTGCACGAAAGGGTTCACAGTGAACGCTAGTTACTATCGACGATTCCCTCTAATCGCGTATCACCAACAATTTCGTCGAACGTTCTATAGTAATTGTCACGGGCGCACTATTTGTAATTCATCGGTTACGCGTGTCAAATTTTACAATGCCGCCGCTCATTATATTTACAGCGACGCGGACCCCGTCGTTGCTTACCTGTCAGTACACGCTGGAAACAATTTATAGCGTTCGGGGTCGACTATGCAGATTCACCGAACGATTGTTACCGCTGGCCATCAAAATGCAACGACGATGTCGCCGCGGCTGCGTGCCGTCTCTCCGGTTTAATTAGCGTCACGGTGATCGGGAAATCCCCCGGTATCATAGTCACGCGGATAATTACTGCCTCGCCCGATCTTCCGCGCAGAGGGAATTTATAAATCTTCCTTAGTCAATCTGGGAAGATGACAACGGAGGTCTCTCTATCCGTTCAATTAAATTTCCATCGATTTCACGCAGCAAATTACAATTTTTCGCAATTTTTTAAATACGATATTTTTGTATTTTAGAAATACTAGTTTGTACGTACAGATTAAATTTATTATTTCTGGGATATCTAGAAGTCGCTAATAAATACCTGTGAGTACCAGTTAAAAAACTCCCAGTTTACTATAGTTCTGTGGACACACAGTCAGCTCCAAGCCGCCACGTCTAGTTCTCCGCATTGGGTAGCAATAATTGCTATAACACAATTCTCCAAGGTCCAAAGTTCAAACATTCAAGCATTCTTCCGCCACCTCCCAATTTACCAATTTCCCTCGAACTACAATAACTCGACGATGACCCCGAAAATCACGGTACACTCGGGTGTATCTTTCGGTATATCAAAAAGTCTGGGAGGCGCGGATGGTTTCGATCGGTTCGCGACGACGACAAGACACCGACAGCGACGGTCTTCGAACTTCTCCAGACTACGAGAACAGTGAAATTATCTGCAGCATCCCTCGCGCCCACGCGAGTAACACACACATTCGACGTCGTTTCTACACTGGCACTCTCGCACTCACGCTCTCGAGTTACCAAACTTCCCGTAGGCCGTGCCAGTTCCGGGCGCAGTTCCTCCGAGACGGAGTGCAAAGTTATGCCGGCTGGCGTGCCGCTAGGAGAAATTGTGCGGGAACCATGCCACGGAAATCAGATTACCGTCGACGTCCTCGGGTGCAGCCGCGTCCTTTTGCCATAAAAGAGACACGGAGGGATAGAGGAGAGATAGAGAGAGAGTCCTTTCGGACCGTGTCCCTCGGACCCTCGGGCGAGAACTAGCAGCCCCTTTTAACCGGGAGGGCCTGGCGGTTTTAATATTTTCGCCGCCGCGATACGGAATTTATGCGAGCAGCCGCACCGAAACCCGGGAAAATTTAAATGGGGAACGGTGTCGTTCGTCTTGAACGGTATAATACGCGGGATCCAGGTGATCAAGAGAAGAAGAACAGAGCACGGCCACGACGTTCAAGATAAATGCACTTTTGTATATTAAAGCACGGTGGCTTTAATAAAAGTTTCGCCGGTGCGAGCTTCTCGCCTCCGGCTTCTTCTTTCCTCTTGGACGAGATCCCTGAGACGATTTCTCATTACGCCTCTGTCATACTCGTTATTCTCCTAGGGAGGGATAATTCACGGTTGTTCGTATTTGATGTACAGTCGACTTATGCATATTTAACGGGCACTGTGTATTCTGTACATACTTTACCGAAATTTTAATTCATATTCTGTTGGTTCGTGCCTTGAACTTTGTTTTGTCTTCATTTAATCATTTATTTAGAATCCTAGGTATCAGTGTTTCTACTTCCCTGATACCTTCTAATTAGTTTCATTCATTACAATTCATTCATCGGTGTATTATTCTATCATCACAAGTTCGTTTCCATATCAGTATAATTATTGCCCAGAACATCTGAAGACATATATATTTGGATAAAAATAATTTACATGCCGGATACGCTTTATTCCCCTCTTGGTAATGTACTTTGATAAAATTCTCACAAAATAGAGTACGCACATTTGCTCGAAGACATTCATGGCTTCTTAAGTTTTACGATACAGTTTGACAATTACATTTGTCCCGTGAGGACCTCACGGTGATCTCTTACTCGAAGACCGAGTATTGATTATTATTAGCGTGATCCTCCGTGGCACATTATGCAGCCCAGCCGAATCTTGGTTTTATTCTTCCTCGGGGCCTTCGAGGTATCTGCAACCGTTGTACCTCGCCGTCTTGCTTCGGGCATTCTCTGCCAATTTATTACCGCTCCTAACGGTTACCAACGCCAGCCACGGTTTTGTCCGGCGGTTTCACGGATGAAACCACTTATCTCCGTAGCCGTCGTCGTCGCTGCCGCCGTCGTCGTGCAATAATTTCTCTTTTCTATAAAGCCACTTTAAGGCCGGCCGATAGCGGTAACAAAGACCGCGACGGGAGTATTTTATTCCCTGTGCATCGGCGCAAAGATCTCCCCCCTTTTCACGCGATTTACTTTGACAAGATGGGACCTTTTGTGGCTGTAATGATCTTGTAACGACGAGGCTTGTTTAAATGGAAATGCTGCTGAAGAGCTCGGGTATCGATTCGCTTTCTCTCAGTCTCGAAACAATTAATTGAGAGAACTCGGCATTTCTCCTTGACGTTATAAATTGGTTATTTCGTGATCCGAGAAGGACAAGAAATGACAATCTAATCATTTTATCCATTAGTAGCAACCCTAGGTGTAGTGTAAGACTTTGTTAAGAATTGTGTAAGTTGCTAGGTCTAGATTCAACGATTATTTCTAGTTACTGATATCCTGAAATATCTCTTGGCAGTCAGAGATATTCATTCCACAAGATATCAACCCTACTGTTCATCCTACTTATAAAATTAGTTAAATTTTAATATAACATGTCCTTAATGAATGCGAAATATACAAAGAGTAGACATTAAATTTCAATACATTGAATAGGAAAGACGGATATTAAAATACATATTATCTAGTGAAATATAATCTTCATTCCGGGTCATACAGACCCAAGAAGAACAACATGGTTAATAATAAAGACTATAGAGGGTTAGTTTCAGAAACAGTTCATTATGAATACTTCTAACTTTCACACGCAATGAATATCATATATGCAAATTATTCGACAGTCCTAATAACAATGGACATCATTGAGAGAAATTATATAATTCCTCTATCCACATTTGCCTCGACAAACCTATCCGAACTTTCGTGTACGTAGTACTTCAAAGTCGCTAACAACAGTCCATCCTCCCCCTGTTCCAGACATGCTACGAGATGGAGAGGTACCTGAAGGACGAGCCGAAGCTGCAGTCGTACAAAAAGTTGCCCACGGAATTGGACACAGCGCCCTGGAACCTCTTCAGGGCGCCACCAATCTCGTGGACCGCCTCCACGGGTGCCGCTAACGCACAATTCGAATCGCCAATCAAAATGGAGGTGAGTAACGGCCGTCAGGGACATGGTGTTCGATCGGTGCTCCCGCGAGGACACTTTTCAAAAATGTTGGGAAGGTCCGCCTACTCTCCCCTCGCAAAGACATTACAAATAGTAGTTCGACATACACTCACACATACACGTGTAAAAAGCAGATGTGTCAAAAGCCCGTTTTCTTTTCTTTGTCCCTGATGCGGACCCGTAGGTGACGACGTCGTCGGAGGACAGGGAAACGATCTGTCTCGACGACATAAAATTCAGTCCCGGCGATCACAACCACAACGGCCGCGATAGGGATCTCCTGGACCGACACCTCGATTCCCTGTCGATGTCGTCGGCGAGCTCGGCGTGTTCGGCGTTGTCATGGGACAGCTCGCCCTCCCTCTCGTGCACGGCACTCATTCTCAAGAAAGAGCCCAGCGAGGATCTCGAAGAGGATGAGGAGCACGAGGTGCGTTCAAGCCGGATTTACATCTGACACTTATCGTCCAAACTTTCTACCCGGTGGATACACCCACTGCCCTCTTACACCCCCACCTCTGTATCCCCAATTCACCGTTTATTTTTATCCTGTCGACGGGTCCCGTCCGAACGATCTCTCGTTTCTTTTCAATATTCCGGACGCCTCGGATCGTTCTGCATGCGAATGCTTAACTTACGATTATGTAAATCTCGGGACCGCGCGCGCGAGCGCGAAGGAACCCGCTGAGCAAGACTATTCGGCTGTTGAATGGGTTCTTTTTTTTTATTCCTGATTTTGAGTTTCGCGTAAGAACGAACTCGCTTGAATCGCAGCCGAACCAAGTGGAGAACACCGCGATGTTCGTTTTTTGTATGAATTTTCGGTCAGGACGGAATCCGTGGATCGGAACTCACGAGGACGTATTAACCCCCAGACACTACAATACTGCGAATTTGTATCTAACGTTCTATCTAACTAGAATGATTCTCAGTTTTGCAACTATATTACCATTGAGTTTCTCAGAAAATTTTACCCTAGAAACCATGTTACTAGCTCGATTTGATTTTATTCTGTTCAACTCCTTAATCGTCAAACATTCAAAATCCCAATTCGCATTAGTGTTGTGCTTACGCATGCTGAGGCGTGTTCTAGTATCTGATGGTTAAATCTCCAAGTGTATATTTCCACGGATTCGTCGATAGCTCGTTACCAACACGAGAAACGCACTCGTTCACTGGTTCGACCTTCGCGACCATAATCTGCCCACGCGAAATAGCACGACCGACATTGTTGCATAACGGTCGGAAGCTATACTTCATTTGTCACTATCGGAACCAGAATTCATTCAAACAGCCTAATGATCTCCGCCTAGCGTGTACCGGTAACGAGCGTCCCGGGGAAAAAAGAACGGTCCTATTTACGTTGTCGTCGTAACGCCGCTTCCGGTCCTCCGGGTTCCGTTCGGTGTCGCGTCCGCGCACAATGCCCGTCAAATTTCAATTACCGGAACGAGAACGGCCGCCCTCCCCTCCGGTTACACAAATAACGATTCTTTACCAATTTTCGTCCGGTTACCTTGCGGAGGGGAGGACCATGTAATTTAACGCACGCCCGCGCACAGAGGCGTGTGTAGCCCGTGTAATCCGTTTACGAGGTCATTTGCCATTGATCGATTCGCGCGGATGGACGGCGGCCATCGTGCGCGCTGTAGGTATCGATGGTTCGATTACCCGTTCTCGAAACCGGCCTGCCTTGGCGTGCTTTAATCAGATCGTCCCGTGCCCCGTTTGTCGTAATCCCGTTGCGCGTTACGATGAATTACGTTTGCCCCGGCCGCAGGAGATCGAGGAGGAGGAGGACAGCGGCTGCGAAAGCGAAGGTCAGATCCTGACGCCGCCGTCGAGCCCCGGCTCGGGTCAAGGTCATTCCAACTCCAGTCACTCGTCGAGCGGGAGTTCGATGCTCGATGTGCACAACCTCAACCTTCATGGGACGGGCGGCAGGAGCGCCATCGTCAGGGTCACCACCAGCAACGCGCAGGGTGTCGCAAGGTGAGCATTGCTTGACTCTGTTTTGTTTTGGAACCTCTTAACCTCTACACGACTCGGTAGTGTCCGACGGAGAGATTTTCAAATTGATTTACGTAAAGTATGAAAAGGATTGTTGAGCGTTAAACCGTTTAGGAGGATTCACCGAGTCTACGGTATACGGTGGTTAATTTAGCGTGGACTTAAAGACCTTTTAAGCGTGGAATCCAGGAACTGTGATAATTAGGTAACATACTAGTGATCGTAAAACGAGGAGAACTCAAGCGATTTTATAGTCATGTGGGTCTGGTTCTATGAAGGTACTGATTTAACGGTTTATTTAGGGGACTTCTTATTTTTTCGTTAACGGTACTAAGTTGACTATACTCGTGAAATTCAAGTATCATAAATACCGCAGAATCATTCAGTCCTCCACGAATGCAAGCATACGCGACTTCAGATTCTCTATCGACAGACGAAATGTCCTTAGTATCAAGCACAGAAACCGTAATTATATTTGCAAATAGAGAATGATAGGATTACTTTGTTGTAAATCGATAAAATTGTAGAATACAGTACAGAAACACCTAACAAAGATATCTGACGCTGCAGCTAAATCAATTTCAAGACTATGTAATTTCTTCGTTAACTAATTTGCACTGTAACTTTAAATTGCACGCTATTATGCGTCTAATTTGCGGATCGATTGAATGTTCTCTCCGTCGTGTCGCGGTGAATTCCAAGAGGTAATTACGAGACATTTACGAGAATGACTGTGACGCGCGGCTTTGACGCTGTTTTTTTTTTCCCAGACTGATCTCCGTCACAGCGAATGGCTACCCCGCGGTCGCGGGCACGCAACACGCACACGCAGGGGCCACTGCGGCCGCGAGCACTGTGGCCAACAGGCATCATGCGAGGAGCCACGAGCACAGTCCGCCTGACACGAAGCGCAGGATACACAAATGCCAATTTCCGGGATGCAAGAAGGTCTACACCAAGAGCTCGCATCTGAAGGCCCACCAGAGGACGCACACGGGTGAGTGAAAGCATCTTCGAACCTATCAGATCGATCCTGAAATTCGAAATATCGTATTCGTCAGATTAATGATAATATCGAAGCAACCAGATTTTTGGTAACTTGCTAGATATAATTTTAGCGATGAATTTTTAATGCCTACAAGTGAATTAAGATTTTATATCGTTTTTATACTACATTTCATTTGGTTAACGATGAAAGAAAAATTCGCCGAACAGATGGTTCATACATTCACGTGTGCTTTGTACGCATAAACGGCCGGGCGTTGTACTAATGAGTACACTGTTCCGTGCGTAAAGAGTAGAACGATAACAATGGGGGAAGAATCTTCCTGCTGGAAATAATTATTATTACAAAGCGTTCGCGAAGCTTCGATTGCAGTCGATTGCAATCTGATAATGAATATCGCATAGATCAAAGGAAACTCTGTGTCATCGTTTTACACGATACAAATCTTGTAAAATGTTCAATTCCTTTGTTCCCCTAGTGTTATACATTTAAGTGCCCCTATTATTTTTAAAATATCCTGAATCATTATCAAAAGACTCCCACAAAAAGAACTACGTCATAGAGCCCATTTTATTAATGATCGTCGCAAGTCACGTGATACCAAAATGGCTGACGTTCGCGACATTTGTCACTCTTTCAGCAATTAAGGTAACGCACGCGCGAATTATCAACACCGTGGATCGCGATTAATAAACTGGTACCAAGGGGCGCGTCTGTCGTCGGTCGACGCGTTTTCGCCCGATAATTTCGCGACGGGCTTTCTTCGCGATTAAGTTAACCGTTTAGCCACGCGGCGTGTGTTGCGGCGGGAATAACACGTTGGATATATCGCCGCGAGGAGAACGGGACAAATTCCGCGACGTCGCGGTCTCTCCATCCGCCTCCCTTATCGCGGGTTACAACAATGCATAATTAATTACCGGGGCTGAATTAAGGGAGCGCTGTTCGGCTTGTACGTCGGTTGGGTGCTCGAGCCGACTAGATGAATGTGACGCTCGCGCACGATACCGGAAGTTGCACATTCAATGCCGACGAAACACACGCTCCGGGTATTTTCTTCCATCGATCGACGGAATAATCTTTGGTCTTTGGTGATGCCTTCCTGGATAGATGACAGAGACTAGTTCCAAGGTTTATATAATGTTGGTGGCGGATTGGGTTTAAAAATATTGGTTGCCAGGAGACAAGGGGGAGCCCACTTACAACTGGAAGAATTGTTTATTATATTTTTAAATATAAAGTTGCCTCGAACAATAATTTTATTATAGTTTTTTTTTTTAGAAAATTGTAAGTTTTAGTTTTTCCAGGAAGAGCATGGAACTTCTATATTATTTTCAAGTTGCTAACAGGTCGTTAATGTTTTTAATATATTGTCTAATGAGGTCCTACTTGCCGTTGGGCAAACATACACCATGATCAGTCCACCACTGGGTAGTGTCACTTACAACATGGAGATTGAAAGTTTATAATAAGTCCTTTGGTGAAACATGTAGAGGGCAATTTGTTGTAGGGACGATAGTGTTCGTGGCGAAAGACGGTAAATGAGGTTGGACGTGAGGTCAGTTTGGAGAAGGTGATCGAGGTCTCCAATTGGGTACTGAAGTTAAGTAGCGTTGCGCGGGGTCAGTGTTCAGGTGACGGGCCATTACCTGGGAATGTAGAACCGTTAAGTGTCTGTGCTGTAATGTTAGGTAATCTAGACCCAAGCTGACGGTATCTTTGAGAGTGATGACTATTTATTACATGATTTTGATGAATATACCAGGTAATAATGACGATAGAAAAAAGTAACGGAATCTCAAGAAAGAAACGAATACAATCACTGCAGGAGAAACAGCTCCGGAGAGAAAATGTTATGGCAAATACGGAATTTCAGAGAATAAGATTGCACTTTGAACCCCTCGAGGATTCACGTAAAGATCCCATTTCCTCCACGGTTACCTTTTAACCGTTTCTTTAGCCGTTATTCGAATAACAGGCAAAACACGCCACGTCCCCGTTAAAGGAGGAGGGCAAGCCAATTAAAACGCATCAACCAGAAGCCAGTAAGCATTCAAAAAGCGAAGCTTAAAACTTCCCTGGCACCGTGTTTGTTCCGGGCTACCGATCGCCGAAAGAAAACGAGCCGGAGTAATTACATGCAAGAAACCATGGGCCACCTTCGTCGTCACTTCCGTAAGCTGCGTCACTTTGAGCGAAGAACTGACCGAACACATTATTACCTCCGTGGTCAGCGAGCTCCTCCTCCTTCTTCGACCCCGCAGCTTTTCGCGGTTCGCTGCGGCGGCGGACGGTGGTGACGGAGGACTGTAATTAACGAGGGACCCTCTTCCTCTATCCCTCTCCGTTTCCCAACCCCCGGCTTCTTGCTCGCTCCTTTGTCCACGTATTTCGTCGCGTCACGCTTCGAACCCTTTCACTGAAGCCTCGACACAGCTAGGTAGGTATACTCCGTTTCGTATATTATTCCCTGCGCAAGGGAAATGGGTATATACTTCTCTTTGTGTCCTGTAGTCGCAAAATCGTGTTGGAGAAATTGTTGGAAATATATTGCCTCTTATTACGTGTAACTTTAACGTATAATAAAACATTCGGTATTTTGTTCTATTATTTGAATACAGGGTGTTTCCGAAATTGTGGTACAACTCGAAAAAATGTGACATTCCAAACGTTGATGGTAATATCCTATCTTATGTCTGCAGATATCGGAAAATTAGACATTTTTAATTATGCCATAGAATTAATTGCGGTATATAGGTACCGCAGCCTATTTTCAGTAATTGTGTCTTAAATGAAACATCCGGCTATTAAACAAAATCCAAAAGCAAGAATGAAGAGTATCGATGTAGAAGTCGTTGAACTTTTAATTTGAATGTTTGCTGAGACGAAACTTCGTACGAATAGACCTTGTAGATACGTATTTTTGAATTACTTTTTCACAGAGAAACGACTCCTTCGTATCTCCTTCCGTTTCAGCTCTCAATAATCCTCCATGCCTCTTTCCATGTCTGTCTTTTCCACCTTCCGTTCATCCACCGCCCTCTTGTTACACCAGCCTCCATAATACCGGGCTTGAAATTACACATCTGTGCCGCTTTCCTATAGGCAACGGCTGCGCCATGTACGGATGCAGATGAGCACACGCGGATAGGTAAATAAACACATATGAAGGCCCCCGCGCACGTGTAGCTATTCACGTGAGCAAATATATGTGGACACGTATACACGCTTAATCACCTGTACGCACAATATTATACGAACGTGTCAACGCGTCGACTGTCGCGCGTGTTGTATACCTGTAGACGTGAGAGACACGCGTCGGAGTTTCGATGTAATGACGCAGTGGATCGCTGTGATAAATTCATGAAAGGTACCGATGCATGGAAACGCATCGTGTTGTTAAATATTCGACAACTCGCGCGGCCCTGTTTCGTGCGTTTTATCGAAGGATTTACTGTTCAATTGAATTCGATTATCGTATTCGTTCTGTAGTGAACTATCGAAAAAATATTAACCCTTCCCAGCGTTACATAATAGTAATATCGAATCTTCTACAATAACGTATCTCCGAAATTTAGTATCTTAGAATTCTTAATTTCCAAAAAATTCAGAATTCCCAATTCGAGTTCCAAATCAAGAATTTTTAAATTCCAAGACAAATTCAGAATTCCATTTCTTCGTTCGGTAATCGTCACCAGAAATTACGCTTCAACGACGAAACAGATCGACACGCGAATGATGAGAGGCAGAGGGGGAACGTGGTCGAAATTCAGACAGGCGAAAAGAAGGGACAGTGGGACGAGGAGAAGCAGTTTGAAGGAGGAACGGAGGAGGGATGGCGGGCAATAAGAGAGAGGTTGGCCGGGACGCCTTCATCCCGCTGCGTGGCAGGTACGGTCGGGATTGCTTCTCGCGGATCGTTAAGCAGAACTGCTAACTACGGGATTATGCATACTGCGAGGCCCCGTCCCGCAATTATGACTCTGTTATGAATTCATCCTGACACAAGGATTCCCGTCGGAAAAGGCACCGCGCCAGACGACGCCTCCGCGTCACGTATCGCGCGGCTGGTCGAACGTTTATCCCGGTGAAAACGGGCCGAAAGGACCGGGACCACGTGCGCAGCCTCGCAAAAGCTATTACTTTTCTGGTAATTGGTTCCGTCCGTCTGACGGATTTCCGAGATTTTCCTGTTAATCGTTCGCCCGACGGACTCGTGTAATACACCGCCGTTGATGCAAGGCCTCCACTTTGTCCAATTTCATTCGATGTAACCGGTTCGATATTACATTTTCCTGTGAATCGAACGGCGAATGTTGTATCTCTGGAATTGTTATCGCCTTTCTCTGGAAACTCGACAATGTTATCGAATTGTCTGAATAAACTTCAGGACATTCTACTGAATATAATCGTGCCAAATATCACGCGGAAATGTGTGTCTTGAATAATGAGTTAATGAGTTTTGGATATCTATTCCAGTCGTTTTTAACATACGTATGGAGTGTTACTAAATTAATTGCCTCAAGTCCAGTAGATTCTGCTTGGTACATCAATGAACGATTTGGATTTATGCAAATAGATGCAACCGATGTATCTGCCTGTGATTATGAAAGCGATGAAGTAAAAAGACCATAAAAATTCGAGTTCAGAAAACGCAGTTCAACGGGAGGTATCTTTTATTATAATATATTCGACTGAAATAGAGCAACTCATCTTTCATTCCACATATCATCAGTCCTGTTTTTCTCCCTTTCGTCGATAATTTAAAGTCTATCCTAAGGCTGGCAAAGAAAGAAATATCAGCCCATCAATACCAGTACGATCGATCCTCTAGAGGTTAAATCGGATCAGCCCATAGCTCTAGTCACATCATATCCTCGCGGTTGTACTCATCAGAAGCGAGCTGCAGCGCTATTTAGAGTTAACATCTTATCGGCTCGTTAGAAGGGAATTAGCGGGGTCAGACGGTGGCTTTGACTGTTAAATCGTCT